GGTGTAAAATCTTTTTGGAAATCCATAAATGAGGAGTCTTAAAAAGTTTATAAAAATTGTGTGTGATGAAAAACATCTATGCCTGCATTTATTATTATTATTATTATTATTATTTGGACCAAAATAAGCTTAGCCCTGTCACTGTTGGGTTAGAGATGGGGAGATGGTGGTGAGTCAAGTCAGAGTTAGCAGTCACGTGTTCACTAAAGCTTCATGGTGATTCCTTTGTTTTTAAACTTTATTTTCAATTATTTGAAAGGTAGAGAATCTTTCATTTGTTCATTCACTCCCCAAATGCCCACAGTGGCCTGACTCGCCACAACCAGGAACCTGGAATTCAATCCAAGTTTCCCATGTGGCTATCAAGAGCCCAAGCAGGTGGACCTCTCACAATGCACACAGAAGTTTGGATTGGAAGCAGAGCTGGGCCTCGAACCCAAGCTCTCTGGTTTGGGATACAGGCATCCCAAGTGGTGTTTTAATCCCTGTCCAAATGCCTGCCCCTGAGCGCTTATGGTGCTCATAAAGACCAGTTCTCACCTCTCTCCAATGATGTGTTTCCAGGACCTTTTTGCCATAACTATGAGAGAAGTGTGTGCTCAGATCCTGCCAGTTCAGCCCTGGCTGAAAGGGGAAGTAACTAGGCATTCTAGGGAGGCCCTTTCACTGATCACTGGCAGAGTTGAGAGTTAGTGTGTCTTTAGAAGAAACTGGGAATGGGCAAAGTTTGTCCCCACGACCCCGATGATGATGATGCCACTGTTTACCAAGGCATCACTGTGTGCCAGGTATGATGCTAGGCGTTGGAGCTCATGAGATCAGATCCTTATCCTGTCCTGTGAAATCAAGCTCCTTGTCCAGTGGAGGAAGCAGGCACTCAGAAAACTTAAGTTTCCTACAGGGTCTGCCCCACTGTTGGGTGATGGAGCCGCTCACCATGGGAGTTTTCTGCAAAGACCAACCAGAACTTCTGGCTGAAAGTTCTTTCCCAACCAGCTCCACTCTTGGGATCCCAGTTCCCAAAATGGCTCCCAGGTACAGAAGAAAGCTTATGAGCTCCTCAGATAGGCCTGGGTTTGATACCCAATTCACCACTTACAACTATGCAATCTTGGGCAAATTACAATCTCTTCAGCCTTCAGCTATGTTGCCTTTCCCCTGGAAATCTGATTTTGAAATGAGCAAGCAAGCAAACAACAAAGGTAGTTAAGCAGTGCCTTGATACATGCCTGGAGAGGGGATGCTCCTTGGAGTCCCTGGTGCCACGTGTCAGCTGACTTCCTCCACTGGGGATATAGCTGTGCTTGGTCTCGGCAAGGTGTGGGTCAGTACAATTAGTGGTACTAAGTGCTGGTCAAGAACTCAGGCAGGGATAGGAAAGTACAAGGACAGGGTACTCCCAGAAGGTGGCTGAGATCTGAGTGACCAGAAGGAGCCTCCACGGGAACTTGAAAGGAAAGGCAGGGGAAGTGCGAGGAGCAAGCTTCTAGAGAGCTACTGAGCAGAGCAAGGCAGCCTCCGAGCGCATGTGCCAGGTGAAGCCAAGGAGCTGGGCAAGGGAGAAAATCGTCCGGGGTGCCCGTAGGCTCTGGGAGAACCGGATCAGGGCCACGTGGTGAGCTGATTCCTCCTTCCAAGTGCTCTCTCTCTCTCTCTCTCTCTCTCTCTCTCTCTCTCTCTCTCTCTCTCTCAGTGAAGCCTGGATGGGGGAGAACAGGGTGATAAAAGGAGAGGGAGCCAGATTGGTCAGGAAGCTCCGTAACAGGGCAGGCATTAGAATCTGGAAAGCAGGACTCAGTGGCCACAGGAAGCAGCATGAGACTCAGTTCATGCCCTGGAGGGAGAGCTGCCAGGGACAGCTGGTGGACTGGATGAAGGAAGCGGGCAAGAAGAATTAAGAATAACCCAGACTGCTGTTACTTGCAACAAAATCCAACCCCACTAAGGATTTTGCTTTGTTTTTTCACTGATGGCACTACCTGTTTGGTTGAACATGACAAGTAGCTGTCTTCCACTCGGGGTCCATAGTGTACGTGCAGGGGGAGGGGATAAATGCATGTCTATAAACACTGGAATTATTTTCAGCCTGAGAATGAGCCACACAAGACGCAGTACCAGTACTGTCAGGCTTCCTTCATTTTCTTCACTCTGGGCCCTTTGCTCATTCAGTGGCATGACTGGAATCCCAGAATATCCATGGTACACAAACTTGACTTCCTATCATGTGTCACCTGTTCATCTCACGTGTGCAACAAGAGCAGTGCCAGCCCATCCTACTGCCCTTAGTAGAAGACTGAACTTCTGCAACTCACTGGCCCATTGGCAAATGAAAGCTGAATACTTCCAATGGTTCCAAGGGCCTTCTAGTAGTCTCTAATGGTGTGTGTATTCAATTGATATTTGTTGAGAACCTGTCTGCCAGCTTCTGTTCTGGGTACTGTAGTGGTAGCAGGGAATAACATACAGAGTGTTGCTACCATATGGGGTTGCCATGGAAGTTAGAAGAAACAGGCAATGATGCAATCATGAAGTGAATAATGGAATAGGTGTATTCCGTGAAGAAAATCAGGTAGGATAACAGGCTGGATGGAGAGTGACTGGAGGCTCTAGGGTGGCACAGGCATTGAGGTCCATGATGTTTTGTGTATGTGCAGAAAGAACTCCCTCCATTTCAACTCTGTGACTGCTAAACCCATTATTTTATTCAAATAACATCAATTAAAACAGAACTTTGAGAAAGAATGTTTTGATTATCTGAACGTTCCGATCCAAAGAAGATTAGTGCTCATATTCTTGCTGTTTTGACACATGCTATTTGCAGATGTGGTTTTGTTCCTACTCCAAATAGAGCAGAAAGCAGAGTTCACGAACTAAAATCACCCTTTAAGATTTCAATGTCATTATTTGAAATTTTAATATCATGTTTCTGACACTGCCATTGCTAAAAAGAAAATTTGGGCTAAATGAGCAAGTTAGAAGAAGAGATGAAATACTTTGTGGCCTCCTTAGTCCTCTGAGTACTTCATCCTCTTTATGCTTTTATCCCACCTCCTTGATTATCCACTCATTTCATTTACTCCTTTGGTTAGCAAATCCTTGATCAAAGAGTCATTTGTACTTAGATGAAAAAAAAAATGACAATAGCTTTTCCCCATTGCTTGCTGTAACCAACAGCCACAAACATTGTGGATGAAAGCAAAGCATATTCATTTCTTCCAGTTCTGAGGTTCAGTAATCTCAATAGTTCTTACATGGCTAAAATCAAAGTGTTGGTAAAATCAAGACTTTGCCTCCTGGAGGGAGAGCTGCCAGGGCCCTGGTGCTCTTCTCTGCCTTCACAGCCAGCAACACGATGTCTTCTCTTCTCTCTTTCTTTGACTACAACACTGCCTTCCTACCTTCCTAGGCAAATTTCCTTTCCTAACTCAGACCTCCCACAACCTTCCTACTGCTGACAAAAACCTGTATAACCTAGCATCATTCCCAATTTAAAAACAGGGGTGCAACCAGCTTTGCAAATCCCCTTTGGCCCTTTTGCCATGTAAGAATCATATCAGTCACGCATAACAGGAATTAAAGCGTGAACATCTTTGATTGGTGGGGTGGCAGGATTCTACCTGCCACAGCTGTAACCCATCAGGGGAGACAGTCAATGGAGGACTGCACGCATAGCAACCCAGGGAAAGCTACTGTGTACTAGAGCTTCCTGTAAGTGACCAAAGTGGCGAGTATATCTGTTATTACTCCAGGGCTGATATGGATCCCATTCTAGACCATGGGCTCTATTGTGCATTGGAAACCTTGGTCTCTGGATCTACCTGGCATTTCCATAGCAGGCTCATCAGAGGGTCCAGGTATAATTTGTACCCTCAGTGGACCCTGGAGTTGCTATGAAGTCAGAGGTGCTTGAATCCAGTATCAGGCAGGGGCAGGCGTTTCTAGGTGGCCAGCAGGAACGTTTGCATCTTCCTCCACCACCATCCCCAAAATCAGAAGGTCAACTTTTGTCCCTCTTCTCGTAGATCCTCGGAGCCTGGAGACATCTGTGTAGACAAAGCTGAAGCCAGTGCTGCAACTGAATCACAGGCTGGAAGCTGGAGACAAGCAGCCAATGCAGAGCAGCTCCTGAGTTCCTGGGAAACCTGGGTTTACTCTGTTTAGGCCAGCAAATGCCAGACTGACAGCTCCCTTCAGCAGAGAGCCTTAAGAAAGTAACCACATGCCACTTTTGCATGGTGTGTGTGTGTGTGTGAATAACATTATTTTAGGCATGGAAAAAAAATTTCTCTTAGATAAGAATAGCCATGTAATACTATTCAGGTAAAAGTTTCTGCCCTCTTCTGATATAATTAAATCAAATATACTTTAATTCTCAAACCAGAGAGGGGGCCATTATGTGCAACACAGGCCAGCACTCAGCTTTGGAATGAATGCTCAAAAAAAAAAAAAAAATTCTAGTCTTTTTCTCCCCCACACAGAAATCTCAAGTTCCCTACCTGAACCATAGCCCTTTCTTTTCCCTTTCTCTATTTTTTAAAAATTACTTGAAAGGCATAGTTACAGATAGAGCAGGAGAGAGAGAAAGAGATTTTCCAACTGTTGGTTTATTCCCCAAATGAGTGCAACAACTGGGACTATGCTGGGCCCCAAGCACTTAGATCATCCTCTATTGCTGTCCAAGATGCATTAGCAGGAAGCTGGATCAAAAGGTGGAGCAGCCAGCATTTGGACGGATGTCCATAAGGGATGATTTTCTATCTGCTGACTCATTCCCTAAATGCTCAAAACAGCCAGAGAAGACAGGCCAAAGCCAAGGGCTAGAATGCGGTCCAAGTCTGCCACATAGATAGCAGGGGCCCCAGCACTTGAGACATTGCCTGCTGCTTCCCTGGATGCAATAACTAGAAGCTGCATTGGAAGCAGAGTAATGGGGACTTGAGTAAGGACTTTAATATTTTAAGTAGACCTCACAAAATTACACCTTGACTAGCCACATTTTTAATCTATTGATGGACTCATATACAAAGGTTCTTCAAAATTTGGAGGAAAACGGAACTGAAAAATAACTTCAGGTGGAAAAAAAAACTTGAAATCCATGTGTAGCTTTTTCACAATATGTGTTCTCCATGAACATTTTGAGGACCTGTGCATGAATGTCAACAATCTTCTGTACAAAAAGCAGCTTACTTTTTCATTCCATTCTCTACACATTTCTTGAAGTGCCCTTGTGTGTGTGCACTGGCTTGACGTTGTAGAGCTCAGCTCCTGATCCTGGAGATATGAATGAGAAGCACGGGCTATTGAAGTTGGATACTTTGATGTTGCTGTCACAAAGGATAATGCTGTGAGGCAGAAGGGCAGCTGGGAAAGCAGACACTTGAACATTTGTAATCAGAAAGAATGAAGCATTGTATGAGCCTCTGCAGAGAAAGCCAGAGCCCAGGTGGTTCCCTGAGGGATGAAGTTCATGATAGAGAACTTCATGGTGGAAAAGAGGAAGAAAAAGCTCCTGGGAGTGAGAGCCCTGGATATTAGGTATGTCCCTGTATGATGCAGGAGAGAACATCAGCCATACAGTATCTTCTGCACCCACTGTGCACCCGTGCAGTGAGGCACCCAGACAGTGAGCTCTGTTCTCATGATCCTCTTTGGCCATCTTGCAACTCAGATCTCATTGATTTTAAGGTTTATTTTATTAGAAAGGCAAATTTACAGAGAGAAGAAAAGACAGAAAGATCTTCCATCTGCTGGTTCATTCCCCAAGTGGCTGCAATAGCTGGAGCTGAACCAATCCTAAGCCAGGAGCCAGAAACTTTTTCCGAGTTTTCCAAGGCTTTGGATGTCCTCTACTGCTTTCCCAGGCCACAAGCAGGGAGCTGGATGGGAAATGGAGCAGCTGGGACATGAACCAGCACCCATATGGGATCCCAGCTCATGTAACGTGAGGATTTAGGCATTGAGCCATTGTGTCAGGCCCTGATCTCATTGAATCTGGCACACAGATCTGCCATTCATTGATTCATTCCCTCAAATGCCTATAATGCTTGCCCTAGTGTGACCAAACCCAGGATCCAGAGACTCAACTCAAGTCTCCCACATATGTGGCTGGCAAGGATGGGCTCAAGTTCCTGAACCATCATGTGCTACCTCCCAGAAGGCACTTCAGCAAGAAGCTGAGATCAAGAGCAAAAGCCAAGACTTGAATCCAAACATTTTGTTATGGATGCAGGTGTATAAAGAGACATTCTAATTGCTGGATTAGATGGCCCGTTTCCACAATTCAGATTTTGAAAGCATCTCTATTATCATTCTAGTGTACATGATGGAAAAACTTGAAACCACTGTTTCCAAGTTGACTTTCTAACCAGGAGGAAAACCTAACTCCTACTGGTCAGACTCCTGGGACTCACATTGTGGCTTATCACAGCCTTCACATCCAAGTTACGTGTCATGCTTACTGGTGGCCTGGCATGCTCTGCATGCTGAGGGTAGAGCAGCAGGAAGCAGTCCAGTGTTGTGCTCTTAGCTCCCATCTTTGAGATGAAGCAGAAAAAAAATACATGAATAAATCACTCCAGATGATCATGGATGCCATGAAGAAAACAAGTCACGGTGATGGAAAGAGAGTAAGGATGAAATGAGAAGGGGTAATTCAGACTGGAACAAAAAAAAAATGATCTCTCTAAGGATCTGTTCTTCAGCTGTGTTCATTGGTGGAGTGCCAGACCAACCCAGAAATCCCTGAGGAGAACACACTGTAGTTCAACAAGAGTGAGAAATGTGTTGTTCTTACCCATGGAACATGATTTTTCCAGTTGCTATATGGGTTGAGGTTGGAAGAGGAGAAGGAATGAACCATGTAGATACCTTGGGAAGAGGGTGGCATGCAGAAGGAACAGCACGTGTTATAGCCCACAGGTGAGAACAACAAAGAGACAAAGTTGGGTGTAAATAGAATTTGGAACCAAGAAGCATCATGGAGTATGATAAGGTCATAATGGTTAGTGGTGTCCAGAACTGCAGGAACCAGTGAGCGCTAGTCTTCATTTTATGTGCAATTGGAAGGCATGGGAGGGTGTTGACATAGTCATAGAATCTGACATAGTTTTAAAGACTATTCTGGCCATTACATGGAGTCTATGCAGGAGGCAAGCAACAAGGAATGGGAAAACAACTAGGAGATTGGAAGTAGTACATTGGGTAGTACAGGTATGGGTGGTGTGGCATGAATTTAGGAGGCAGAGGGGAGAAGGAGAGAATGGAAGGACTGAGAAGCAATAGAATCTGCGTATGAGCTGTAAAGGGCAAGGAGAAATCCAGGGAGTCAGCAGCTAAAAAGGCTGGAGGACAAACAGAAATCTCAGCAGTGAACAGCAAGTTCCGTTTCAGTCATATGAGGCATAGGCTGCCCATTAGACATATATATTCTGGAGCAGTTCCTATTTTAGGTTTAACATTTGTCCCTGGTTGTCTCTGTTAAATGAAATTTCCTATGCCATGTTCTAGGAAGCACAGGTTCCTGCCTGGGATTCCTGGACAAGTCACTGGTTGCTCTCTGGTGGTGATAACGATCTAAGATGATTGAGACAATGCCCTCCAAGATGCTAGTCTGTGGCTGTACCCTGACTTTCCCCTTCCTTTACAGACAATCACAGATATCAACAGTGCTGTAGATGAGAGAGGGTTTGGGACACCGTACCTTCAGGAACCTTTGGTCAGTATTTAGGCTACTTCCTGTTCATGCTGAGGCCAACGGTGAATAATCAGAGAGAAAGTCTATGTGAGAGGAGACATTCATTTGTAAGAATCCAAGAAGGAAGAGAAATCTAGCAGTCACCTGTAGGAGACAAGAGGAAATCAGGAGTCCCTGGGAAGCCAGCCCCCAAAAGAGGGACTGAGGGAACAGAGTAGGTGAACTAATATCCCCAGGGACCAGGAATCTGGAGGAAGGACAGGTTCTACCTGGAGCTGATGGAAGATATAGGTTATAATGATGAAGAGATGTGGACTTCCCAGATATGTTGGTAGAAGGCTCAGATATGCGGGTAGAAGGCTCAGAGAAAGACCTTATTCTTTCTCTCTCCCCACCAAGGTTAAATAAAGAGGCCAAACTAAAGCAGTGTATACAGATCACCAACCTGGATGCTCAAAACTCTGGATATGCTTGTTTCCTTGGGACTTTTGTATCATCTCACAGCTGGAATTTGCTTCCTATTCACTGGTGCGTGATTTATAAAATGATCCAGAGCATGGAAGTAGTCGGAGCACCTGGAGTTGAAGCCTCACTGTGCCATCTTCCTGTCTCATGAGGAGCCTCAGGGATTCCCTTCACATAGGCTTGTGGTTTGGGTAGCTGTGGACTGGGAATCCACTGACTCATCTCTCACCTCCGTAAGAGGAAGGGGTGTGAGATCACATCAGGCACACAGTGTAAAACCAGCAGCTCAGGGCCTCACTCTGCCTCCTAAAAGCATTGCTAGGTAATTCTCCCCATGCCTGTGATGTGAGCAGATGGTAAGATCCCTTGAATCATCATGGTGCAATACCTGGAAGCTTCCCAGGAATTAGAAAACTGGTATTAACATTAGAAAAATGGCATTAGTAGAATCCTGTGGCAGAAAAATCCATGTCTGACCTTTGCCAGAATCCCTTTCATTTTATGCTGTTTTTCTCCCAAGGAAGTGAACTTCACAAAGTTATTTTAAAATGTAATAGGATGAATTATCAATCCATTAAAGGAAACAAACCCATTCTAATTAACAACTGTTCATGGGAAAATTGCTTGCTGCTGCAGGGCTAGATAAATGCTGGGGAAATTGTGCCAGCAACACGTTCCAGTTCAATTATTTTGTCCTTACTCAGCCAAGTAATTGATGTCTGATCATTTTGCCTGGTGGGTGTTGATGGAAAGGGAGTGATTTCTCCCCAGGCTGGGCCGGCATCATGAGCAATTTCTGGACTGTGGTTCAAGGAACAAAGGAACTGATATGAGGACTCACCGGGCCAATGTGTCCCTGAACCAACCGCCTAAGGTAGAGGAGATGGAGCAGCCATCTGCCTGTCCCAAGTCACCTGTCAGTCTGGTTGCTGGCAATGCAGACCCCAAGGAAGCCTCATAGACTTAAGGACATTATTCAGTTTTAAATCTGGAAGCAAGTGTGTTTGACAAAAAGAAACTGGGTAGTGATTTTTCTCCTCCTGTTAGCAAAATAGCTGTGAGAGTCACCGTGCACATTGCTAACAAAACCTATCTCTAGACAATTGATTGAACATTGCAACTCATTCAGGACCTTGATAGCTAAATGGCCATTTAAAGAAGGATTTTTTAAAAGTAGTGTTACTTCATAATCCAGAAACATGGGGGGAAAAGTATCCTTCAAATGGCTATCTCCACAGTGAGTAGACCAGACTCTAGCACAAGGTGGGTATCCTGCAGGGGTGTGCCACACTCTTTTGGGCAAAGACACTGTTGTCTCGTCACCCAAACACCAGTTCTTCCTGACTCTATTGTTAAGACTCCTGACTGCTTGCGGATGTCTGCTTTCTCCTGATTGAAGTCAGAGCAACCCCCCAGCTAACCTAATCAGGCAAAGCCAGCACCCTTTGTCAGCAACGGATTTATTTATGGGATGATCCAGTTCTGGTCGTGAAGCATACAAGGCAGCCTGCCAGGGCACTCCTGTAAAGGTCACCTTGATTTTGAAGTTATGTTGGCATTTGTTTCTCTCCTGCTGAAGGCTGCTGTGTGTGGGTGTGGTGCCTAGGGTAGTAGTGACCCCATGGCAGCCCTGGAGACCCCAGCTGGAGCACTGCCAGGAACATGACCATGACCTTCAGGTCATGATAGCGCTGTGATGCCACTGACTCAACCAAACCCACAGACTGTGTACATCAGAGCCTCTGATTGCAGTGTGCCTATTTACTTTTCTTTTAAAGACTTATTTATGTGAAAGGTAGAGTTTCAGGGAGGGAAGGAGAGGCAGGAAGGCAGATACCCTCCACCTGTTGGTTTACTCTCCAGCTGCCCACAACAGCCCCGGATAGTCCAGGCTGAAGCCAAAGGTCTGGGATGCCACCAGATCTCCCACATGGGCTATAGCGGCCTGAAAATTTAGGTCATCCTTTATTGCTTTGTCTGGCACATTAGCAAGGAGATGGATCAATGAAAGTAAAACTGGGCCTTGAACTTGAGCTCTAATAAGTGGTGATGGCACTGCAGGTGGCAGGTTAATCCACTGTGCCACAAAGCTGGGCTCTGATTTCTTTTCCTTTCCTTTTCTTTTCTTTTTTAAAGTTTAAGCTTTATGGTGAAATGTTTTCTATTACCTGCAGGAGAAAAACCTTCACCAGCATCAGTGATAATTTTCATCAAGCAGATGGTCAGAGCAGAGTCCTGGCATTACATAACTCTAGGATACACTCTAATCAGTGTCCCGCAGTTGTGCCAAGCAGATTGCAGAATGGTGGCAGTGAGTGAACAGCTTGCTCCGGGTCGTGGGGTGCACTCACGATCAAGTCAGAAGAAGTAGTGCCAAGAGACTGGCTTCTTCTCCAAAGACCAGCTGGCGTTTGATGCCAGGCACCTCCGCTCTGCTACTGCATGCCTGTGACTTTGGCCACTCTGCTCAGCATTTCCAAGTTACAGCTTTTCCCAGCTGAAATACATGTATTGTGAGGATTCAAAATGACGCATGGTGAATTAGTTAGCAAGATGCTTGCTGCCCAAACATTTTTCTGCTCCCAAACCCTTGATGACAGCAAAGAGCCTGTGACCTGTTTATCTCCTATTGTGAGCAAAACCACAGATAGCTAGGACAGAAGGGAAGCGCCGTAGTCCATGGATGAGATGCAATCTGAAGCTCTCATTCACAAATGGTTTCAATTCATCCCTGATGTACAAATCCACCCAACTCCATCTCCTTAACAGGAAATTCTACAGGGACAAGGTACCATTGGGACAGTGCCTGAAGAGGCACCTTCCTGAGCGAGACTGACACCTACAATCTTAGGGGGAAACTAAGTCACTAAGAGTTGTTGTGATTGTATGTTTTGCTACTTATATAGCTCGTTTTTTTTTTTTTCATGGCTACATGTGAGCCTTCACTTTGAGGAAAGGAGACTACAAAGCCCTGAGATGTTCTTGCTTAGAATGATAATTGCTCATTAGAACCCTATTTTGTTGTAATTGTACAATTCATTATGCTGAGCTCTTCATTAGAAGCATTGTAAAAATTCTGACAACTCAAATAAGTTACATTGACTATCGAAATGAATCTGATTGAGAGCTTTTAGACTTTCTTAAGGGCATCTTCTAATTAATACATGTGAGAAGCCAGGCAAGTGGGAGTCACCATATTTTATTCTGGAGATTATTATTGGAGTGTTTCTTTTTTTAAAATGCACCATTATTTTGAAATAAGAAGCTTTCTTTAGAACAGAAAGAAAAATTGGCCCATAAACCTGAACTAGTCACAATGAGGACACATCTGTCTTCATGAATACAAGTGGTTCAGAATTATCTGCAATTAATATGAAACCAAATATTTTTATAGTCCTGTTGGGGACTTTGAGTAAAAATGACAGATTTCACTCAGCTCCCTTTCTTCTTAAAAGCCTACTAAAACTGACAGTTTTGGGAACTTAGCCAGGGAACAAACTCACAAGGACAAAGAATGTGAAGGAAGCAAGAAAAGAAAATTCTAGAAGTTGAAAGTAGGTCAAGAGCACCAATTTTGCGGTCCCGAGACAGCAAAAGCCTGTGCAGGTGGAATAGGAAGAGAGAACAAGCTAACTATCTTCAAAAGGTCTCAAGGACTCGAGGATTTAGGGTCTAGGGTGGAGGTAAAAGCGGGGCCACCGAAGGACCAACTGCGGGTCTGCTTAGGGGAACACTTGAGTTCCAGATCTCATCTTGCCCCCACCTAGCTGAGGCAGTGCCCTGGTCCACAG